AACAGAGTTTTTTCAGCTTTTCCAGGCTGTTCAGCCCCTGCAGTCAGGGAAAGGTGAATGGTGCCATAACAGGTGCCATGACATAGATGTTACTTAACTGGGAGTGCAAAGCCAAAGCCTTCTCTGAGCCCCTGATGTCTCTGTTTGGGGCCTGGTGTCGAGCCTTGCCCAGAACTGATGAAGCCCTTGGACTAAGGAGTAGCGTTGGAGCTGTTGGAGAAAGACATGGCTCTGGTGTTTGGCAGGATCATGTGGATCTTCTTGGAGTAGAAATAGTGGAAGTCTCAGGGTTTGCTTTGAGTGATACATCCCTGCTGGCTTGCCTTCCCCAGGTCCTGGTCTGATGTTCCCAGTGGTGTTTAATGCAGGTCTCCTGCAGGTGGGATGCTGGGGGAGTCTCACCCCTCTGTTCCCCGTTGCAGGCTGCAGCAGCTGGATGATGAGAACAGTGAGCTGAGGTCCTGTGTGCCCTGTCTGAGAGCCAGCATCGAGAGACTCGAGGAGGTGAGGCCCAGGAGTGCCCGGACTGGGCTGGGGGCTGCTTTGGGGCTGGAATTCCCATTGCCATCCACATGAGATCCCTCTACTGTACCAAACAAACCAGCTGCTCCCACCTTCCAGTCCCTGCAGACCTCACCTTGTTCCAGCACTGTCCCACACCACTATCCATGCAGGTTCCCAGTGTTTGGCTTGGAAACTGGGAATAACAAACCTCAGGAGGGGACTCGTGCCCTCTTGTGGAAGCTTGTCCCCATCTCTGTCCCCATCCTGTGGTTCCAGTCCCCTGCAGGGCAGGAAGAGGAGCAGGAATTCTCCAAAGCAGCATGTTACCTCCCAGCCCCTCCTCCCTCCCACCCTACTCAGGATCCAAGGCCGTGCAGGTGCTGGTGGGACCAGGCTGGGAGGCTTCCCAAGGCATCCCAGTGCACAGCATGGACAAGATCTTCATTTTTGGGAATGACGTGGGTTCCAGATGTGACACATAGAACAGAGGAAGTGTTTTGTTTCTGTTCAAGCTTGTGGCAGAATGAAGGTTACAGTGAAGTGAAATCAAACCTCCTTGCCCGGCTGAAGGGTCAGGAGCATTTTATCCATGTTTAATCCCACAGGAGCACTCTGCAGCTCCATCTCTCCTGGCATGGCCACTGGGAAGTGGTCTTCATCTGCCAGGACCTGGTGGGCGCAGTTGAGGCTGAGGGCAGGAAGAGCCCTGTGGCTCTGAGGATGAATTTCCTGCCTCAGTGTGTTTCAGCCATGGGAATTTGGGTTTGTTCCATAATCTCCCTGCAGAACTGTGCTGCTCTTCTCCATGCTTAATGGGATTAAGGAGGAGCAAGAGGTGCAATCACTGCCCCTTCCTGCCAAGGAGAAACTCAGCGGATGAGCTGCTGCCTTGTCCAATGCCCAGAATCAGGATTTTGTTGTCAGCATTGTGCTTCCTGCTGGTGTGTTGCCTTTGGTGCTCTGTTCTGCATCAGGACACCCCAGACCCAGCAGCTGGAGCACCCCATGGAGCTTCTCCTCACCCCTCATGCCATGGGCCATCCATCCCTGGCATTGGATGGGGTCTTGTGGCATTTCTGGCTTTCTGAGAGCCAAAACGCTCACAGGGAGAGCCAGGCTGGGGGCTGAGGGGCTGAGCTGGTCACAGGCAGAAGCTCTGAAATGGAGAATGAGCATCCCTAGGGAGGTAAAGGTCTTGGATTCATGGCTTTGCTGAAACTCAGACCTCAGGAGCCTTATGATTTAATGCCTCTTCTTGGCCTGGAGCCCATCCTGGCCCCGGGCCCTCCCAGGCTGTCCCATGCCAGCCTCGTGCTTCCCAGAAAGCTGCACAAGTGTGGATATCCACATGGATTTGTTCTGGAGTCATATCTTACTGCTTCTCTCAGTGCTATTTTGGTTTGTGGCTGCCAAAGTCCTCGGGCCCTGGAGCCCTCAGCAAATGAAATCCCAGCAGGCAGAGCATCCATGTGCGTCAGGAGAGGAACATTCCCTGCTGAGCTCAGCGTCTGTGAGCGAGTGGGAAGGGCCCTGGCAGTGCTGAGCAAAGCCAGACCCTGGCAGTGTTGCTTTCTGTGTCCTTACAGGAGAAGCAGAAGCTGCTGGATGAGATTGAAGACCTCACTGTGCAGCTCACAGAGGAGCAGGAGAAAAAGAGGAAGATGGGGGACAAGCTGAGTCAGGAGAGGCACCAGTTCCAGAAGGAGAAGGAGTCGACGCAAGAGGTGAGTAGAGTCTGTGCCTGCCACACTCCTGTCCTGCTAGTCCCCAAAATTAGGGCTGTGTGGGGAAGTTGGCCCCCCTTGTCTTAATCAGAGAGTCCCAGACTGGTTTGTGTTGGAAGGGACCTTAAAGCTCATCTCATTCCACCCCCTGCCATGGGCAGGGACACCTTCCCCTAGCCCGTGTTCCTCCAAGCCCCATCCAACCTGACCTGGAACACTCTCAGGGATGGGGCAGCCACGGCTGCTCTGGGCACTAATCCTGTTGCAAGGTTTGCTCCCAGCTGGGACAGCCCATCCCTCACACCAGCCACGACCAGAGCAAGCTGCTGAATTTTCAGGGGCTGTGGCACTCAGTCATTCCCTTGCCTTGCTCTGCAGCTCATTGAGGACCTCAGGAAGCAGCTGGAGCACCTGCAGCTCTTCAAGCTTGAGGCAGAGCAGCGGAGGGGCAGGAGCAGCAGCATGGGGCTGCAGGAGTACAACAGCAGGACGCGGGAGACGGAGCTGGAGCAAGAAATCAAGCAGCTCAAGCAGGTAGGGAGGGCTGGGCTGGGAGGGAAGTGATTCTCTGACACCAGGGAGCGGTCAGGAGGGTTCAGGGGCTGCCTGCCAGGGGGTGGAGTGGATCCAGGAGCTCACTGCTTTCCTCTTCTGGGACAGGGAGTTTGGCTCCTTCCTCTCAGGGACAGCCCCTCTCCCTGCTGTGTCCTCGGGGTCTTCCCAGTGTATCCCATGCTCCCAGTAGTTCTCCAGGCTCTGCCAAGGTGGAGTCAGCTGGCTGCACTGTTCTCAGTGCTGTGAGAGCTGTGGTTAGGATGAAAGCCTCTGCCTCCCCAGGCTGAGTCTGCTCTGAGGGCACCAGGTGCTTCAGCAGTGTCGGCTTGTCTGTGTGAACAGGATAACAGGAACCTGAAGGAGCAGAATGATGAACTGAATGGGCAGATCATTAACCTGAGCATCCAGGGAGCCAAGAACCTCTTCTCAGCCTCCTTCTCGGAATCCCTGGCAGCAGAGATCAGCTCTGTCTCCAGAGATGAGGTATGTGCCATGAGGTACTGCTCACCTCAGCCTGCACCTCCCTGGGGTGGCTGGGGCACCCCCTGTGCCCTCAACCTGGGAGGACCTGCTGTGGCCCTGTCTGTGGTACAGCTTGCTCCCAGAATTCACTGGAAAGCTGGCAAGAGCCAAGAAATCGCCACACAACTACTGGTAGAGCTTGCAGCACTTCCCCTGCTTCCCAGCCCTCCCTCCTGGGAACAGGGAAACTGCTCCCTGCCTGTTTGCTGATACTGGCAGCTCTGCTTTGCCTGCCTTTCCCTTCCTGGGACAGAGGAGCCACCATGGGGTGTGTCTGTCAGTCTGGAGCTGTCCTGAAACCCCCAGGAGCTGGGAGATCCACCCCAGAGATCCCAGCTTCTCCCTGTACCCCAGACACCAGTGGCTGAGCCTGCATAAGCATTAAGTCTGAGTCCTCAAGAAGTGGGGGAACACATGAGGGTGTTTCGGGCGTCCAGTGGGGATGTGATGCTCAGTGCTCTGGGAGAAAGCACAGGAATGAGCAGAACTAATTTTCCCTGGCCACTTAAAACACAGCCAGGAATATCCCAGGCCAGAATCCACAGGTGCACAGGGAAGCCCTGGGCAGTGACCTCTCCTTTTCCCCCTCCCTCACAGCTCATGGAAGCAATCCAAAAGCAAGAGGAGATCAACTTCCGCCTGCAGGATTACATCGACAGGATCATCGTGGCCATCATGGAGACCAATCCCTCCATCCTGGAAGTCAAGTAAGGGCGGCCGAGAGCCGCCGGCTGCGCCCCACGCGTGGGTCTGGTGCTCTGAGAGGATGCAGAGGGACTCCACACGTCTTTGCTCTTGATGAAGGCACGAGGAAGCGTCAGGTCGGGGGTGGAACGAGCCACGGACCAGGGAAAAGGAAAACCGGCAGCCAGGCTTGGTGGTCTGACTCCGTTATTTTGAAGCCCTTCCGGGGCGAAAGGGAACCTGGAGAACAAACACAGGCAACGCACAGCTGGAGGCAGTGGCTGTGCCCTGGGACTGTCCGACGGGCACGGGCTGCGGCACAGGGAGTCGCCCACACCGCCCTGGGCAGCGCCAGGACCTGCTGTGCCAAAGTGTCCCTGACACGCTCACCCGCCGGGGCCGAGGGACTGCGCAGGGTTGGGGTTGGCACTTGTTTTGGTTGGGTGTTTACTGACTAGTGCAGCTGTGCTGGGGCAGCCCATCCTGGCCCTGCCCGGCCAGCCTGGGGCCAGCGTGCACTCCTCACCTGCCTCCTTATTTATTCGTGCTGCCCATGGCTCCTTGGGGGCAGCGCTGTCTGCCCAGCCCGCAGGCTCTGGGGGACGGCTGCAGCACCTCACCCCGGCCCTGAGCCCGGTGCAGCCACCTCTCCCTGTCCTGGCCGTTTGGAAGCTGCGGGGGGAGATGCGAGCTCACTCCCGAGGTCCCTGGCCTGGGGACAGAGGTCTGTGCCATTCCCACCTGGAGCAGGGCTCTGCTGGTGATAGCTGCAGTCCTGGAGGGAGAGCCTGCTCCGGCAGCCTTTCCTCCCGTGTCCCTGGGCTGGGGCAGGGCATGGAGCAGCCACACTCCTTCATTAGCCCTGGGCTGGAATCTGTGCAGGGGAGGAGGATGGAGAACACCACCGCAGCTCCCTGGGAAACAAAAGCCATGTTTACATCAGACAGCTTTGGGCTCGCTGGCACGGCTTGACCCGGGGGCAGCCACCGGGCACCCTGCTCCGCTCTGGGAGGAGACAGCTGCGGAATCCCAGCGATTTGGCTTCATCCAGCCTTCCTTTTCCTGCTTGGCAGGTTTGAGGGATGCCACAGTGGCCTGGAAGCAGAAGCCACAGCGATCCCGAGGGGTGCCTGCTCTTCCCCAAGCCCCTTCCAGCAGGGAGGTCTTGGCAGAGTCCTGCAGGGTAGCACTGCCCAGGGGGACGTGGCCACAGCCTTATCCCGGGGAGACAGCCAAGACACCACCAGGTCACTGGGGCTCAGGGGGCACCCTAGTCCTCCCCTGCCCCGAGCCCGCGGGAAGAAGCCACGTAATGTACATTTCCAGAGAAGCTTTGGGTGTAAATCAGTGTATACTTGGAGAGGGAAAATTTTTCTATCTTGTAGAGTAGGTATTTTTATAGAATGAAGGTTGATCCATTTTTTAATACTTTAAAGAAGAGAGAAATGTATCTGTGTATACACAAAAGCATATATATATATATGTATAAATATATAAATATTGGAGATCTGCCTTTCTCGACTTGGGATCCTGATCCCCAGGTCTCAAACAATCAGTTTTTTTTCCTGGCTCTCACAGAGGTACTGTAACTGTAAATAAGCACTGGGGAAAAAAGTTTTAAGCAAACAAAAAGCACTGACTTGCACATTCACCATGCTTTAAGGTCCCTAAGGAGAGAGAAAAAAAAAGCAAAACAACAAAAACTGTACATCCCCAAAATGTTCCTCTTTCCCCACCGGTCTGTGAAGGAAGTCCCCCTAAAAAGAGGCAAAACAGTATTGTCTTAAATGATGTATCAATTCTTGTCGGATTAAAAGCTGTTACTATTCCTGCCCAGAGACTTTTCTTCCACAGAGGTGGATCAGAGCATCCTGAGTATCCAAGTGCTGGATCTCCAGTGAGGCTGGATGGACTGAAAATGCTCCTGCTCCAGGGAGTACCCTGATTTTGGGAGTACAGGGATGGAGGAGGTTGGACCCAGCTGGAGTGCCCTGATTCGAGGGAATGAGGATGGAGGAGGTTGGGCCTGGCTGGAGTGCCCTGATTTGGGAGGATGAGGATGGAGGAGGTTGGACACTTCTGACTCCAGAGGGGCCAAGGTCAGAGGAAGCCAAAGCCTCCCCACCAGCCAAAACTGCATGTGGGAATGGAGGGATTCCCCCTTTACCTTCCTGGAGGGACCTTCAGAGCTCATCCTGCCCTGCCCAGGGAATCCTGCTGCCCAGGGTTTGGGCAGGCTGAGACAGGGACTCGTGTGGGTCTGCTCCAGGCAGGGACACGGAGCTTTCGCTTCCCTTTGCACCAGGAGAAACCCCTCAGAGCACTCAGATGTGCTGAAGGGCTCCAAAAATCCCTTAAACGCTCTCACCCGCCCTGCTAAGCTGCTCCACACCCCTCTAAGCCTCCCCCCGCCCCTGTAAGCCCCCCCAAAGGGCCTGAACGTGCAAAATCCCCTCTCAGCTCCTGCCGTGCCTCTGGATCACTCCAGACTGTTCCTCTGAACTCCGAGCAGCCCTGGAGCTGCTGCAGAGCTCCGAGTGCCTTTGTGCTGGGGAATGGCTCTGACACACCCTGAGTGCTCTGAAACCCCCAGATCCCTGCAGACTGCTCTGAGCAGCACTGGGGCTGCCCTAAAACATCCCTGAGCAGCTCTAAAGCACCTCTGTAACACTCCAAACTGCTCTGCCCCTCTAAGCAGCTTTTAGATTTCCCTAAACACCTCTAAAACATCCTTAAAAACTTCCTCTGGAATCTCAGCTTCCAACTGCTCGAAGCTGCTCTAGGAATGGGGAGAGTAAATAGCTCTGGGGGTGTCTGTGAGGTGCTGGGTCACTTCAAGGAGCTGTAAATCACCTCTGAGCAGCTCAGAGCCCTGGGAGGACGCAGCTCTGGGCAGTGCTGAACCACTTGAATCGCTCAAATAGCTCCTCAAACCAGCCCTAAAAGGCACCAAGATGCTCCAACTGCATTGAAGTAGCACTTGAAGTCCTCTAAACTCTTTTAAAACTCCTTGAAATAGCTGCAAATGGCCTGTAGAAAAGGTCTGGTGGCAGCTCTGAAGCACTCCAAGCCTCAGCTGTGTGGATGTGAAACACCTCGAGTGCTCCAACACCCTCAGAAAGGCCCCTGAAACCCTTCCAGAGCTTCCTCATGTGCCTCAACAGCATCGAAACTTTTCAGCAATGTCTCTGAACTCCTCCAAGCAGTTTGAAATCACCCTAAACCCCTTCCACACAACACCAGAGGGGCACAAGCAACCCTGAAACAGCTCCAAAGGTTGTGCCAGGGAAGGTTCGGGTTGGATATTGGGGAAATTCCTTGATGGAAAGGGTGGTCAGGCACTGGCACAGCTGCCCAGGGCAGGGCTGGAGTCACCATCCCTGGAGGGATTTAACAGCCATGTGGATGTGGCACTTGGGGACATGGTTAGTGGTGCCTTGGCAGTGCTGGGGAATGGTTGGACTCAGTGATCTTAGAGGTCTTTTCCAACCTAAATAATCCTATGGTTCTCTGAGCCAGTGAGCACTTCCCACCACGACCAGGGCCACCGTGACCATGTCCCACATCCCCTGGCCATGTCCTGTGTCTCCACAGCAGGGACAGCTCCAGCAGGACCCCATGGCCATGTCCTGGCTGTGCTCCTCACCCTGTCCGACCCAGGAATGTGCTCCAGAGCACTCACTGCAGAGGATGCCGCAGGCACTGCTGCAGTGTTTGGAGAAGGGATTCCAGCTCCTTCCTCTTCCCCAGCTGCTGCCGATCCCATCCTGGCATGAGGCTGGGGTGGGGTTAACTCTTGTCAGCTCTGCTGGGAGGGATGAACCCCCACCCTGGGCTGAAGGGGCAGCCCCAGTGCCGACCCAGGGTGCTGCCTGTGCCATCCCATGGGATTTGCACCTGGGATGCTTGTGGTGAGCACAGTGCTCTGCAGATGGTCCCCAGGGATGCTCCAGGAGCTCTGGCATGGGACACAACCC